ACGTCGGCGTTGACGACGTTAGCCAGCTCGTTGCACTGTTGAGAGAAGCGCTGGATGTACCCACGGAGGGTTTCTCTGGCCTTCTGTCGGTAGTTTTTAAGATCATATGGGTTCCTAGGATGCTTGTACATGCCCTGAAATTCCCCATGAAGATCTCTTTCAGGTCCGCCTAACTTTGGATTTTGTTGGGCGGAAGGTGTTCCAACCATGTTTGTGCCGAATTGGCTAGGAACAATGAAAGGTTGCGGATAATGAAGTCGCCATTATCCGCTCCACCGGCTTGGCAAGCAAGCCAATAATCCTCAAGCCATAGTCTAGGGTTCGTTTCCCCAGAGTATTTTGGGATGTTGGTTGGTGGTCGGTACCGTGGTGGGAAGGCGGCGTTGAGGATGTGTAGGCCGAAGGCCTAAGGTCCCGGCAGGCCGGGGCTCGGGCTTCGGTCCTCGCCACTGTCATAGCATCCACCACGACAAGGGTGGTAGCCGTAGCTAGCTCCCTACCCCGCATCACCATGGGTACGCCTGCGGGCGTCGAGGGTGTCACGCACGTCACGGTTGCGTCCGAGATGCTCAAGCACCGGGACCGTGGTGCGTAGCCTGCTGCCTTACGGCGCCTGGTGGACTGAAGCATCCTTGTCGGGTCGCTCTGAGGGCATGCGCTGGCTGGCGTCAAGCTCACGTCGTTGACACAACAAGCTTTCGGCTTGCTACGTCGCCCCACGCTCGAGTAGCGTGTGAATCTCGTGATAGGCCCGACGATCCTCGAGCGTCGAGGGCCCTAGAAGCCCACGGAGCAAGGCCACCGCAGCAACGATGTTCTAGCTTGTCCGAGCGAAGTGTGGGAGGGCTTCATCGTCCTCGATGATCCTCCAGTTCACGTCATGGGCCATGGTGCACGCGCGCCCACCGCGTTCGTGGCGCTCGATATCTTGATCGAGCTCCACGCGTTCCTACTCGAGCTGGAGTCGTGCTTCCTCGAGCTCTTGGTGTCGGGCCTTCAGCTGCTCCATCCACAAGCAGAGTGGAGCCCCTGTATCCCCCTCGACCTTGTCGTCAAGGTCGTTTGTCGGGGTAGCCTCCTCTTCGTGTATGCTTTCGACGTGTCCCTCGGGGGTACCTGCCATAAAACATTCACGAGAGGGCTGATGGCTCCCCCTGCTGGAGTCAGAGGTGGAGGGTGACTCCGTTTCTTCCACGAGGAGGTCGTGGAAAGACTCCATGACATATTCGGTCATCCCTACGAACTCATCGTTCGCGGGGAATGGAGGCGCGTGTTGCGCCACAAGGTGGCCAACGATCTCTATGGTGTTGCAGAGACCAAACGAGAGCGCTGTCAAGACGCTCCGTTTGAGGTATTCCGGGGAGAGGGGCTCTCCTTTGGCAAGCTGCGCTATGACGTTGGTGAACGAGAAGATGAGGTGGCGCAGGTCCTCCCCAGGACGGTCGGGGTCTCAGAAAGACGCCTCGCTGGCGCTCTAACCTCCCATAGTCGAAGCCGTGGAGCTGGCCACTCCCAGGGGCACGGGCCTCCGGTGCATGCAGCTGTAGCTCCTCAAGCGTCTCGGTGATCGCATCGAGGCCGGACAAGTGGAGAGGTTGGATGGCGGCGGGAGCTTGCGCCAACTCTCCTTCCGTTGAGACGACGATGAAGTCTAGGTCCCCGAAGCGCACGTGCGCGCTCAGGACCCAGCTGACGTTGCGACTAGCCATCCAAGGCCTTGTGTGGGTGTTGAGACGCACAAAAGGACCCTACCTGGTGCACCAACTGTTGGTGTTTCGAGTTGCCATTGACTAGTAAATTTCTAATATTGATCGTCTGGCTCGGATGGTGTGCTAAGAGGACACAAGATTTATACTAGTCCCTACGTGTAGTTCGTTGCTGCTGCTCGTGTTACTAGCACTGAAAGTTCGTAGTAGGGGTTACAAATGGTCGAGAGAGGGACATGTCCCAAGTCTCTGGTGAGAGGAGCGAACGGGTGCCGAGAACTCAGTCGCTTCCCGGCTGTGTGCTTGTCTCTGATCGGTTTGGGGTTTGATGGGTCTGAGTCCCCTTCATGGGACGCCCTGCTTTCCCTTTTATAGGCCAAGGGAAAACATGGGTTACAGTGGAGGGAAAAGAGGAGAATGAGAAGGAGAAGAAGTCCTCCAGGATCACCGGGTCCTTTTTCTTCACACGGGTCCCATTGGCCCGGTAGACGTCAACAGGGGCAGCTCCACGTCGCGGCCCTATCTGTCATTGGCGCCATGCGCAGGTGTCGTCTCCCGGTCATGGCACTCCACTCCGTCCTAGCGGACATCGTGGTGAACTGACGTGCCTGTCAGTGCTCGTACGAGGGTTAGGCAGAACAGCACCGGTACGCACGATGATGTTCCTGATGTGAATCCGCAGGTATGGCCCGTCACGGCCACGGGTTATATCAGGGCATGCTGGTCACCTCTCTGGTGTCAGAGCTTTGACCCAGGCCCATTCGCTTGGACCTGGAGTGGTTGGTGGCGGTATGGGTCTACGTCGGGCGAGACAGATCCCCCGTCCTCGGAGTCGGTCGAGGCGGAGTCCCACCCAGAGGCTGGGCGAGGCAGAGTGCAAACCCAATGGTCGGGCCAGGCAGAGCCCGCCCCCAGAGGTCGGGCGAGGCGGAGCCCGCGGCCTCGGTGTCGGACGAGGCGGAGCCCCCCTCAGAAGTCGGGCGAGGCGGAGCCCGCTCTCAGAGGTCGGGCGAGGCAGAGCCCGTGGCCTTGGTGTCGGGCGAGGCGGAGCCCTCTCTCAGAGGACGGGTGAGGCGGAGCCCGTGGCCTTATTGTCGGGCGATGCGTAGCCCGCCCTCAGAGGCCGGGCGAGGCGGAGCCAGCCCTCAGAGGTCGGGCGAGGCGGAGCCCGCGGCCTCGAGGTCGGGCGAGGCAGAGCGTAAACCCAAGGGTCGGGCCAGGCGGAGCCTGCCCCCAGAGGTCGAGCGAGGCGGAGCCCGCCCTCAGAGGCCGGGCGAGGCGGAGTCAGCCCTCAGAGGTGGGGCGAGGCGGAGCCCGCGGCCTCAGTGTCGGGCATGGCGGAGCCCGTCCCCAGAGGTCGGGCAAGGCGTAGCCCGCACTCAGAGGCTGAGCGAGGCTGAGCCAACCCTCAGAGGTCAGGCGAGGCGGAGCCCGCGGCCTCGGTGCCGGGTGAGGCAGAGCCCGCCCCCAGAGGTCGGGCGAGGCGGAGCTTGCACACCTAGGGATCGGTTGGAGTTGTAGTCACGCTCTTAACTGCTCGGATGAATCAATGTTGATGATTATTAGTTCCTCCTCAGGTACCCTACTGTTGATCTTGACATACAGCATCGTGGACATTGCCGGACTTCGTTGCACATGTGCTGGTACAATGATGGTTGCAGCATCTGCAAATACCCTCAACCAGGCCTGCATTTCTTACTTTTTGACATGCCAAATCAATATCCATTGTATTAAGGCCCTCACCTCCAACCAGGCCTGCATGGAGCATTAAATGTAGGTAAAAAATAACTTTTTTAGTTGAAATTACATGAATCTTTTGAGCAATCCATCAATATTTACCAAATAAGACGAAAGCGCTACTATTCATTGGGTTGCAATTTTTTGCAATCTAAACATGCATGCAAATCTTTGGTTCTTCATGATTCTGCACCAAATATTAGTTTTCTTAATGTATCCTCCTTCCCACACATTACACCATATCTGGATTTGAGCTATATGGATAATCCTGCTTGATATGATCGTTTGTGTCCAGAGACATTGAACTTGCTTTACTTACTTTACCTGCTGCAAGACAACTCAGTATTCTCTCTGATCATTTCACACCTACTTTCAGGTTTTTGAGATAAAAAAAATGATGGTAAAATGAAAAGGACAATGCGACAGCCCCTGCCTTCTAGTCGCTTTAGTCCTGCACATGCTGCCATGTGGGCTACAAGCGTTGGAGTTGCAAGAACAACTTTGCTAGCCTGGAAGGTTCTTGCTTTCTCTTTGCACGTTAAGTCCAGAGACATTGAACTTGCTTTACTTGGGGGTGTTTGATTTCGTAACTAAAATTTAGGAGATATGTTGAAAGGATATCGCATGGAGTGTTCGAATATTAATAAAAAAAATAAATTACATAAACCGTCAGTACTCTACGAGACGAATTTTTTAAGCCTAATTAATTCGTCATTAGCATATATTTACTATAGAACCATATTGTCAAATCATGAACTAATTAGGCTTAAAAGATTCGTCTCATAAATTAGTCACAAACTATGTAATTAGTTTCGTAATTAGTTTATATTTAATACTCCATGTATGTGTCCAAATATTTAATAGGACAGCGACTAAAATTTAGGAGAGAGCAAAACCAAACACCCCCTAAGATGCTGCAAGACAACTCAGTATTCTCTTTGATCATTTCACACCTACTTTCAGGTTTTTGAGATAAAAAATGATGGTAAAATGAAAAGGACAATGCGACAGCCCCTGCCTTCTAGTCAGCTTTATAGAAGGGTAACGTATATGGACTAGGTAATTCATAAAGATGGATCCGGTGTCAGCTGACCATACTTATGTATTTTGCTACATAAAGATGGATCCGGTGTCAGCTGACCATACTTATGTATTTTGCTACAACAATCAATCATCCCTTCCTAAGGTAGCATGCCAGCAAGATGACAGGGAAAGACAAGAGAGAGGAAGAAAGAAATATTTTTCTATTGCTAATGGGTAGTCCATAAGCATGTGGGTAGTTTTAACTATAGACTACTATATGAACTACTCACGCAATATTTTGGCCAGGCTATAGTAAATATTTAAATGCCTATGGACTACTTCTAAACTACATTGTGGTTGCTCTTAGTCCTGCACATGCTACCATGTGGGCTACAAGTGTTGGAGTTGCAGGACCAACTTTGCTAGCCTGGAAGGTTCTTGCTTTCTCTTTGCATTCTATAAATGCATATTCTATTTTCTTTTGAAATGTACTCATCTAAGTGCATATTCTGTTTTCTTTTGACATGCAAAAAAATGGCAAGGTTTGTGCAGGCTAATGGCTTGGCAGCTGGGCTTGCATCTTCTAATCTTGTTCTGTACGCATTTGTGTATACGCCGTTGAAGCAAATACACCCTGTTAATACATGGGTTGGGGCAATCGTCGGTGCCATTCCACCACAGGGGTAAGTTACTGATCACTGTTGTTATTCTTAGGTGTTGAGTAGCTTTTTATGTGTTATAGCAACATATAAATTTTCTGCATGAAAGGACCTATAATTGACAGTAGTTGATCTATGTAGAAGGAAAAGGTTCTCTCAGTACTGGTGAAATTGTGAATTTGATTCCAATTTGTAAATGGATGAAGCACCGCCCTACTAGCTGCTGAACTAGTTTCTCTGGGTGCTGTTTCTCAAAAAAAAATGTCTGGGGTGCTTGGATCATGGAACTATGGCCTGAGCTGCACAGGGGTACACTGGAACTAAGAGTTGCGTTTGATATTCTCTCCTAATTAAGAATCAAGTTGTCTTAGGCAAGGGCATATCATGATTGCATTAAGTAAGTTTGATGTCTGGAATGTGAATGACTCTTAAGATATCTGCAAAATTGCAATCTTGATCACTCTTTGCATCTATTCTTGAGCAATATCCACCCATCCATGACGCCCTTCAATTTCCATTAGATCCTGTCAAAGGTTTGTGGAAACCTTCAAGTGTGTTTAATATTGGTCAATTCTTGCTGTAGAGTATTTTGCTGTTATAATGCTGTGCTCCTAATTGATATGTTGAATACGTCAATAGAACTATCTTCATGTTTTGCAAGATGTGATCCTTTACTGTGTCTTCCTCTGTACAGGTGGGCAGCAGCTTCAACTGAACTGTCACTAAATGCGATGATACTGCCTGCCGCATTTTATGGCTCTCGCATACTTATGTTGCAATGATTACTTGCTGTGGGGGTAATTAACTTGAACCAGTTCGCATCTAGCAGATCTGTCTGTAAAGAGTCTATGAAAACTGTGGCCATGTGACTGGTTGTTTGGTGCAGGTATCGTATGTTTTCTTTTGCTGACCCTACTGGTAAAAAGAACTGTGTGGGTGTCACTAAGAAATTGTCTGTACATGCTACCTTTGGGGTTATTTGCATATAATTGTATGTGCTAACCATATTGAATTTCTAATTTCTTTTTTAAAATTTGTTTGTAGATTTGAGATCTTATGTTATTAACCCTTGTAGGGGGCCTCACGTCTGAGTTGTTCAGTCTTGAAGCTTCACTCCTAACATTAGGCCTTACCATTGGAGCCTTATCACTTGTGCTGGAACCAAGTCCGAAGACTGCCAGGAGAATGTTCTATGGTAGCCTGCTGTATCTGCCTTCATGGCTGAACTTCTGTTACATCGGCTGCCTAATGAAAAGGCGCACAATCTGGCTGAGAAAAGTGAGTTTGACGGAGTTCTGTATGGGGCTGATGTGCAGGACAAAGAACAGAAACGCCAAGACAGGAAACCTTCTCGTGTGCAATCACGCACTCCAGTTGCCTATGCTTCCGTGCCTCCATTCACTTTCCTACCAGTGCCCATCTATGAGTCATGAAAACCTTCTCTGGTTCTTCCTGCAGCAGTGGGCCTGTGGGACAGTGGGATCAATGTGTTCATGCATTTTTGGCTTATTATACATGATTTTTCTGCCATCAAGGGGAGGCCTTGCTGCGTGTGTTGTTAAAGTTATACTAGAATTTTTTTTAATGGATTGAGGTCTTTGCGGCTCACTTTAATGTAAAAAGTGCTATTGATGCTCATTCTGATGCCTCGAGTAACACGGTTATGCTGATGTCCTCAAACATTGTGATTTTCTTGTAAAATTTGGTTAACCTTAGTAATGTACATTCAAGTTCCATGTAAAACGGTGGTCTTCATATTGACGGCATTTTTAGTTTATTATTAGGTTTATTTGGAATTTACTGTCGCTATCTTCCCATGCTGCTATTATTATGACATGGTGGATTTTGTCCTACTTCCTACGTAACTTTGACAAATTACTCCCTGTCTATGATTAATTATTGCATATTTGGGGAGCGAATTTCAGGCTGGGTGAGTAACTCGGGAACATAGCTATAATATTAAACATTGATCAGAAGTATACAGATACAGTTTCCCATATATCATAGGCTACACAGTTTAGAAAGGACACAAGTTTTTATTGATAATCATAATGGAAATACAATTTTCTCTAAGCGCTAAAGTCTTGAATAATATGATATACTCCCACCATCACGAAATAAATTAATTTCTAGAGTTGTCAAGTCATTTTTTATATTTGACCAAATTTTTTTAAAAATACAAATATTTATGATTATGAAAATATATTTTACAGTGTATCTAATAATACTAATTTGGTATCATAAACTTGACACTTTTCTATAAATTTAGTCAAACTTTAAAAAAAATAACTTAAGACAACTCTAGAAATTAATTTATTCAGAACCAAGGAGTTCCTTTTTAAAATGTGCTATGCTTGTATCATTCTCCGACACAAAATATTCGGTGAAATCTTCGTATGCATCATATCATGTTTTATTCAGTGAATTCTACATATGCATCATATCATGTTTTATTGTAGCTAATTGATACAGTCTTTTTTGTGTCATTGTTGAACGCAAGTAGGAATTCATCGGCTTCAATATAGAAATTCTTCTTTACGAATGTATCTATCACTAGAATAGTCGCAAAACTCTATGTACGCTAGGTGTATTAGGGAAAAAGGCTAGCCATCGCTAGTTGTATTAGGGAGAAAAGCTAGCCATTTCAAGAAGTTATAAACCTTAGCATGTGCCATACTTTCATCCCTAATGAAATATTGAAGCAACTTTAACCTTATATTTAACTATGTCAATATCGAATTTTTGCTCCACTCATAAATGCAGCCTCAAGGCAACTACAAGAAGACTTTAAGCTCTTATCATCCAATGAGCACATTGCACGGGAAGAAATCAGGAGACCAAAAATTATTTTCATATACTTTTTAGTGTTGAAACCAGTAAGCGAAGCAATGTTTTGTTATAAATAAATAAAAATGTGTGTGCGTGTGGTGGTGGTGTGTTGGGGGGGTTTAGAAATTTGGGACACCAGTTTTTCGGGTATGCATTCTACATAGGCTTTTATGGTGTTAGGGTTGTGGTTAGAGTTTGAGAAGTTGAAGGGGTAGTGTCGGGCGTATATGTATGCTCATTTTTAATTGAGTCATTTTTTGGCGCTGTTTTTTAACACTGTTTTCATTAACAGAAAGAAAAAGTTATAGCATGAGATCCTGGTAAAGTAGTAAGAATAGGATTATAGGACCAATATGATCTTGCAAAACTAGTCTCACAAGAATCATCCATTGAGTTCAAGCTCAAGTACAGAAGAACAATTTGTGACCCGAGCAAGCTTAGCACCAAGAGAAATAGCTACCAAAGCTATACAGCTAGCAACTAGCAAACCAATTGATAGTCTTATCGGCAACATCCTTCTTCTATGCTAATTCCTTCAGCTTCGAATGTCACCTGGCTTCATTTTTCAGTTTGTTCCAACAATACATCAATACAAACGACTTGTCACCTTTGTCTCTTCAACAGAGCAACAACAACAACAACAACAACAACAACAACAACAACATCAACAGCTTTTAGTCCCAAGCAAGTTGGTGTAGGCTAGAGTTGAAACCCAACAAAGCCTTTTAGTCACCTTTGTCTCTTGCCTTATATAAATCCAATGCATTACCTATCTGCATATGCAATAATTAATGTAGTTAGTACAACTGTAAGCACAAAAGATAGAGTGCATAAAAAGTCATAACATTATCTTATCTTGAATAGTACGTCCACTTTGATTCCTACACAAAATCTCGTTGTAGCAACTACAAAATTTGTTTACTACAACTAAAATAATCAGCCATCTATGCATGAAAGAATTCTCAATGTGATCTGATACGAAGTCCTTGTTTGTATTGTAGTACTTTGCAAATCTCTTCCAAAAGTTTTCACAAGTTTGATTGGTTATGTTCACTGGATCTTTGCTAGTATTCAACCAAACTAACACAATTAATCCATCCTCCTTATTAAACTTTTTTTGCTTTTTTGTTTTGGGTCTGGCACCATAAGTACTTGTAGCAACACGAGAAGGGGAGCACCTTGGTTTCAGAAGGGAGCACCTTGGTTTCAGAAGGGAGCACATCAAATTGGCTGAACAATCCATCCAAATACAGATCATCATTGTCGATATTCGTCATATCGGTCTAGGAACTTGGATTATCCATATCTATATTTACATTCAACAAAAAATAAGTTGCAAATACACCATACCACAACACATGAATGTGTTGTTCATCAAAAAAAGAAGAGAAATTTCCATCTACTTTCGGACGGCTGCCTATAGCAAAGCTATCCCGCAAGAAGCAGGAGGCAATGACACTATTGAGGCAATGCGGAACCAACTGATGACCACTGGGGTAAGGGAACTCCAGGCGACTGGGCGGACCGCAGCTATAGATTCAATGGCGGCGTGCAGAGGTGTTGCTGCTCTGGTATGCAAGATAGATGTTGGGCGAAGGCAAGTACGTACCAACAGTGCTGGACTGAAGGGCAGGGGGGGGGGGAGAACAGATCCCGCTGAAAACAACAATGTATCTCGCACAAAAAGGAAATCGCTCACGCGAGAAGTACCGCAGAAATGAGCCCACGGAGGAGGGATACCAAGTTCTCGACTGCAGAAACTTATCGCTCGCACGGGATGTATCGCGAAAACCAGCCCATGGAGGAGGGATACGAAGTTCTCTCGAGTGCAGAGTTGGAGACAATATTTTATAACGTTTTCTTTTTAAGAAGCTTTTTTATGAAACTGTCAAAGAGAATTGTTTTTGCTAAAAAAATCAACATAGAGAATTATTTTATAAAAACTCCTAGAGATGCTTAAGAAAAAATAGTTGTTTCAGAATTTAGACCTGTCTTTTAATTTGCATGCTCTAAGATTACAAACGGTGTGCATACCTTTACTTTCTTCAGACCAATTTCAATGGAAGGTTTTCATACACATTAAATATGTTGATATAGATATTAAATATGCTGATATAACATTGTTTTCAAAATAATTGTACTGAAAACTGAGACCTAAAACCCCACTCACACTCACCGACATCAGTGAAAAACGATAAATAGCTGAAGAAAAAGAGAGGCCATTGACCGACCGACCACAACGAACACACACTTGGCATTGCACCCATCCGTTCCTCGTTACGCTTCCGATTCCATTAATTAAACCAAAACAACCCCACAAAACCCCCTCGGCCCCTCCAAAAAGACCATTGCTCTTTCCTCCGCCATCCACCCAACGGAGCCGCGGCAACCACCACACCATGGGATCGCTGCGGGGCGCGGCAGCCCCCTCCCCCTCCCCGGCGCCGCGCGCGGGCGACCTGGTGACCACGCAGGTTAGCCTGGGCGGATTTGACGCCACCGTCAAGGCGCTCGATCTCGCCGACTTTCTCGAGTTGAAGGCGGGCTTGGTCTGGCGCTGCCGCGTCAAGACCTCCTGGACCCCGCCGGACGCCTATCCCGACTTCCTTCTCCCCACCGTCACCTCCGCCGCCGCGCAGCCGCCACAGTACGATCGCGTGCCTCCGCACGCCTTCGTCCACTTTGCGCGCCCGGAGGGAGCGCGCGCCGCCGCCGACGCAGCGGGGCGGTCCGAGCTCATCCTCTCCGGGAAACCCCTGCGCGCCGCCTCCGCGCAGGAGAGCTCCCTTCGGGCCTCCCGCCGCCGCAGTGTCTCGCCAGTCCGCTTCCCTGGCTCGCGCCTCGAGGTCGGGGATCTCCCGGCCAAGGACGCCTTCCTCGCCGCCTGGCGCGGCCCGGCCTCTGGGCTCGAGTTCTCCGTCGATCCGTTCGACGGGTCTTGCCGCCTCATCTTCGCCCGCGACACCGCATTCAAAGTCCGGGAGTTCCGCGAGTCTGTGGTCATGCGCTGCGACGTCAAGCTCGAGTTCCCCGTCCGCGACGTCGCCGAAGTCAGGGTGTTCCGGCTCGACTGCTCGCTGCTGATCCGGCTGTCGGCGGCACCGCTGGTTTATTACCGCACAGCGGATGACGACATCCACGAGTCCGTGCTGTTCGACCTGCTCGACGACGATGACCCGTGGATACGGACCACGGACATCACTCCCAGTGGCGCGATTGGGCGGTGCGGCGCGTATAGAATCACATTCTCGCCGCGGTTCTGGCCAAAGATGGAACGCGCGCTGGCGTACATGAGGGATAGGAGGGTGCCAATAGTTGATTGCGGTGGTGGGTGGGGGCCCAGGAGGGGCCTCACCGTGCGTGATGAGCCTGAGTTTGGGGAGCCAATGCAGGACCTGTTCTTCTGCGTGCAGCACGCCGAGGGTCTAAAGTTTCCGGTGTTGTTCCTCGTGAATGCTCTGGTGCACAAGGGAGTAATAAATCAACACCACCTCACGCCTGAATTCTTCGGTTTGCTCCAGAGGAAGGAGGATGATGTGAATGTGGCTGCTTTGAAAGAATTTTGGGGGGGCAAATTTCCAGTTTTTGATGCATGTGGCAGGCTGAAGAATCTGCAAGATAGGGTTGCCAGGTACCCCAAACTTCTTCGCAACAAGATTGGGGATGACAATTCAGAGGTGAGGAGGCTGGTAGTCACGCCCACCAAGGCTTATTGCCTGCCACCAGTTGTGGAGCGCTCTAATCGTGTCATCCGGCATTATCGTGAAGTCACAGACAGGTTTCTCAGGGTTACTTTTATGGACGAGGGTATGCAGCAACTGAACAGTAATGTGCTGAATTTCTCCGCTGCGCAAATTGTCAAAGATTTGATGTCAAACTCGTTCCTGCATAAGACAACAGTGTACAAGCGTATTAAAACATTTTTGACAGAGGGATTCCACATGTGTGGCAGGAAGTACTCATTTCTTGCATTCTCATCAAACCAGCTGAGGGACAGGTCAGCTTGGTTCTTCGCAGAGGACAGAATGAGAACAGTGGAAACCATTAGGAAATGGATGGGGCGGTTCACAAGTAAGAATGTAGCAAAGCACGCTGCTCGGATGGGGCAGTGCTTCTCATCTACATATGCTACAGTGGTGATGCAGCCGCATGAGGTGAATGAGTGTCTCGAGGAAGTTGAACGCAATGGGTACATTTTCTCTGATGGAATTGGCAAGATTACGTGCGACCTTGCACTTGAAGTTGCTCAGAAGCTGCAATTGACAGATAATCCCCCATCCGCTTACCAGATTAGGTATGCAGGCTTCAAGGGTGTTATAGCTGTCTGGGAAGGAGAAAATGATGGGATACAACTTTCCCTGAGGCCGAGCATGCACAAGTTTGAGTCTAACCATACTGTGTTAGAGGTGGTCTCATGGACAAAGTTTCAGCCAGGATTTTTAAATCGTCAGATTATTACATTACTGTCCTCCTTGAATGTCCCGGATGCTATCTTTTCTCAAATGCAGGAAGCCATGTTATCTAATCTCAATAATATTTTGTCAGACACTGATGTTGCTTTTGACATTGTAACCACCTCTTGTGCTCAGCAAGGAAACACTGCAGCACTGATGTTGAGTGCTGGCATTTCACCTGGAACTGAGCCACACCTGAAAGCAATGCTGTTAGCTATAAGGTCCTCACAGCTACTGGGTCTTCTGGAGAAGACAAGGATTTTTGTGCCCAAGGGGAGGTGGTTGATGGGCTGCCTTGATGAACTTGGGATCCTTGAGCAAGGACAGTGCTTTATCATGGCGTCATCTCCATCACTCAATAATTGTCTGGTAAAGCATGGACCAAGATTTTCCTCAGCAAACAAAAATGCAGAGACCATTGTGGGTACTATCGTAATGGCAAAGAATCCATGCCTTCATCCAGGGGATGTCCGGATCCTTGAAGCTGTTGATGTGCCTGAACTGCATCACCTTGTTGATTGCTTGGTCTTCCCCAAGAAAGGTGAGAGGCCACATGCCAATGAAGCATCTGGGAGTGATCTTGATGGGGATCTCTACTTTGTGACATGGGATGAAAACCTTATACCACCTGGCAAAAAGAGTTGGAACCCTATGGACTACTCCCCAACTGAAGCAAAACAACTACCTCGTGCAGTATCCCCACATGTAAGCTCAACTATTCTCGGCATTTAGGCATTTCTTCCCTTAAAAGTTCAATATATGGATGCATTGCCTCAAATATTAGTTCATTTCGATGCCCTCCCATTACTAATTTCTGCTTGACATGTTAGTGTTCTTACTGAGCAATCTCTGTTGCAGCTAATATTGAAGTTGAGCATAAACTTCCATGGAAATTGTATCATAGGATTGACTCTGAATCAGGGATTCTTTTTCTTCCTACTAATTCCATGCCTGTTAATATTTGACATGTGAAATCCTAGAGTTTTGAACTATGTGTCTATATGATTATTTGTCTTCTACTCCTTCCAGTCCGGTTTCTAAAGTGTCCTTGCGTTTTAGAGAAAGTCAGTAGTATTATTAGGCGTCACTCGTATACTCAGACAGGATTTAACTCATAGACAGAACCGAACAGTCACTTACATGGAGATTTTTCTCTTTTTCTTCTGGCATGATTAATACTGATCCAATAAAAAATCGGTAGCTAGCACTTGACAAACGATCCAATAAACAAAGCGCTAGATTAATACGATGTCACAAACATCCCATTGCTCCTTGGTATTTGTGATTTCACCATATGCACCTTAGAAACCGGACTGGAGTGAGTATTTGAATAACAGATGAGGATAGCTCTGATGACATTTCTTCACTAACAATCCTGAAAGTTACCGTCTCTTCTTATATATCAACTTTCATGGACTTACTATCTCTTGTACTGACAATAGATCATCGTACAATAATTTTATGATGCTTTGTATTTATTCTAGTATCTTAATATGAATCGTGCAAAATCCCGTATAATGTAATTTTACTATAACAATTCTTGAAGTTAATGTGCTCTGCAGAATACATGTATAATCTGCAAAACTGTGTTCATGTCATTTGCTCAATTGATACATGTTTCTAAATTTTCATTTGACAATCTACATCCACAATGGCATTATTGGTCAAAGTTAAAAGAGTTTTGGTTGCAAAATCACTTGTTTCTGACTGGAGGGTGTTTTGTAGGGATGCAAGTGGTGGCACCAATTGGTAGTAGCGGGTCACTTTGTTACTTCATTTCTATCCCATATCCTTTTCTTTGAGATCTTAATTAGTTCAATTAAATTAACTTTGGGTTGACCCAAAGAAAATAAAAATTTGCATCCCTAGTGTTTTGTGTGTATTAGGTATAGGTATAGGTTAAAGTCTTGATCATTCTGAAGGTAGTATGCTAGGAAGTCTAATGTGCACAGCTGGATTTCAATCCAAAAGGACTATTTTTAGTAATACCATGTTTTTTCAAAAATACAAAGCTCGTTGCATCCAAACACATAGTTTGTCAAAACCAAAGTATTTCACAAAACCATGGTATTTTTCTAATAAAACAAAAATACTTCAAACAAGGACTAAGGTGTTTTCATAGGTTGGAATTAAAGTCAAGAACTCCTGAACATTAGTACATATTCAGTTCATCATCAACTAGCACTCTCTTGGCTTTTGAGACTTAACATTTGCACTTTTTATCCAATCAATCTGATCATATTGCTAATATACAAAAATTATGATCATTTCACATGGTTTCTTCAAATTGCTTTGTCCTTGGTTTGTGATAAATATTACTTTTTTCAATACACTTTTATTAATAAGATATTGTACTGTTAACAGGATATTGTTGATTTCTTCTTGAAGAACATGGTAAATGAGAAACTGGGTCCAATAAGCAATGCTCATGTTGTTCACGCTGATATGAGCGAGTATGGAGCAATGGATGAGAAGTGCATTCAGTTGGCAGAACTAGCAGCAACTGCTGTGGACTTCCCCAAGACAGGCAAAATTGTGTCAATGCCACCATCCCTTCGACCAAAATTATATCCTGACTTCATGGGAAAGGAGGATGCCATCTCCTATAAATCAGAGAAGATCCTTGGAAGGCTTTATCGGTCAATCCAAGAAGCCTCCAGTGGTGATTTGGTTCCAGAAGAAACTTGCACGTTAAACGATTTGCCTTATGATGCAGATATGGAAGTTCCTGGTGCAACTGATTTTCTCTCAAGTGCTTGGGAGTGCAAGTGCTCATATGAAACACAACTGAATGCACTGCTCAACCAATATGGCGTGCGCACTGAAGCAGAGCTTGTTACAGAGCACATATGGTCGCTTCCCAAATACAGCAGCAGAAAGCAGGGGGACATAAAGGAGAGGTTGAAGAATGTATACTCTGCTCTCCACAAGGAGTTCAGGAGCATTTTCGAAAGCTTTGTGACAGATCAAACTGAGATCTCTGATGATGAGAAAATTCGGTTTTATGAGATGAAGGCCTCTGCATGGTACCAGGTAACCTACCACCCCAAATGGGTCCAAAAATCAAGGGAAATGCTCAAACCTGACTGTGAGGACATGCCAGCAAGGCTTAGCTTTGCATGGATTGCAGTCGAGCACCTGGCACGGATTAAGATAAGGTGCCATGGAGAAGTGAAAGTGGACAGCCGAAGGCCCGTTGAGAGGCTCGCAGCCTACATATCTAGGAGCATGTGAGTTGGCGTGAAGCTCCATGCGATAGTGAAGCAAGACCACTCTGCCCTTTCTGCCATGCCATCTGAACTCTGAAGCATGGCTCCGTCTAGTCACTTCGTTTTTTTAAGAGTCACTTCGTTTTTTTACGAAATTATATAGTTCAGACACAAACACTCTACATGCACGTACACCATACACTCACCTCTATGAACGAACATTAATGCATTTACCAGAGTCGAACTTGTTCAAACTCTATTACTACCAGAATGTTTGTGGATATATTAGTTCATGGTGTCTGAATTCCAAAACAGTTTTGTTGGTTGTGTAGAGTGTTCCAGTTTTGTCCTGGAAAATTGGTCAAAACTGGTCTGGTATGTTTTTGTGGCCATTAGATGATGTCTGAACTCAGGTTGAGTGCAGCTGTGTAGTGTTGGCAATTTGTATTCGAGTCAACATGTAAACATGCTTGTCGCTTCTCGTCGTACGCCAATCTCCGTAGCGTCAAACACAAGCCTTAACTGGTGACTAGATTGCTCTCGTTGTACGCTGGCCAATCTCCTTAGCGTCAAACAAAAGCCTTAACTGGTGACTAGCAGCAACCTCTATCTCTACAACTAAAAAATATATAGAGCAATTGCCCCTGTTGCTAATCGCCTCGCCTGCACGGGTGCCCCCTGTCTATACCATGACCGCTATAAGGAAAGTGGATCAAGTCATCAAAAACTTGTGAGTGCATCAAGTCGTCAAAAACTTGTGAGTCTCTTCCATGACCACTATAAGGAAAGTGGATCCTATGGGCCATCAAGTTTGATTTAAGTGTTTCATGACTAACATGACCATTCGGACTAATGATGTTTGCTACTATACAAGGTATAGTTCAAATGGATGCGATGTGGCCTTGGACTTAGGCAAAGGGGCGATTCAAATTATCAACACCTCAATCAAGATATTAAAAGACATGTTGAAGATCCAGAAGACATGCTAAAAGTCCAAGACACAAGATGGAACCAAGCTAGACATGAAGAAAAAGACCCTAGTGCATGCTGGTTGCATGCACCGGATTGGTCCGGTGGTGACCCCCCAGGGGCACCGGACTATAGGGTGGCAAACCCTAGCAAAGAGACATCTAGAAGGCACCAGATTGATTCGGTGGCGGCGGTAAGGAAAGCACCAGACTATGTGCTTGTATTGTTCACCAGTGGAGTGTTTCACTCACCGGATTGATCCAGTGTGAACGGTGAAGGGGCACCAGACTATAACAATGATCACCAGAGAGATTCTAGAAGCAAAAGGAGGGCATCGGATTGATCCGGTGATGGGCACCAGACTATGCGCTATGAACAATGCTCAATGGTCACAAATGACTAGTTCCAATGGCTAGTTTCTGGACATGCACCGGAATAGTCCGGTGGTAAGCTGTTGCCTTGCTCCAACAGCTAGTTTCTTTGGGGGCATATTTATACCCCCATGTCGGCCCTTTGAAGGTAGTTGGAGTGTGTTGAGATATAGGAATGTTGAGACACTTCACCAATTGCTGTAGCCACCACAAGTCCTTAATAGAATATTAGTTATTAGTGTAGGTGCTTTTGTGAAGTGTTTAGGCTAGTTAGACACCGCATTTACGCTCTAAGTTTATGCCTAATGTTTATTGAGGTTTGCATAAGCTCAATAGTTAAGATGGTGGGGAGCGGTCTAGGAGAAGCCATCTCGGAGACCCACTCGTGCGTGGGAAGACCTAGGGTCTATCCACAAAGTTATCCAACCGGGAGCTTTGCCCTTGAGAGGGCACCCTTGTGAGGGGCTCCAACGAGGATTAGGGGGGAAACGTGAGCTTCTCGATACCTCGATAAAAATACTAGAGTCATCAACGTGAATTTGCATCTCTATCTCAATTAAGCTTCCACATTTATACTGTGTACTTAGGTTGTATGTTTTACTACTCTAGTTTAGGTCGCTAGGCTTGATAGGATTGGAACCTAGGTTGCATAACTCTTATCCGGTAGAGATAGCAACACACCTAGCCAAACCTTAGTAGCACATTTAGATAGGTGGGAATTAGAGGTCATAGTTTAGAGTATATTCTTAGAAAGCTTAATTCACCTCCTTCTCTTAGACGTCACGGTCCCTACAAGCACAGAGATGGTCCACAATCACACATCACTTCACCCACCCGAACTTTATCAAAGATATGTATTTCCTTCAAAACTCATTTATGTTTTTTTGTGTATAAATGTTTTTGGTATAGTTCATCGTTTATGGCAATAACTATAATATGTCATCATATTTTCTCATGATCTTTCCACAGGGTTTTACAAGAGTTTTACCGTCATTTTACTTTATATTCTCCTCATATTTTCATGTAAGGTTTTTGTGGAGTTAATCTTTTATGTTGTATCTGTTATTTTTCCTTGTATGTTTTTAAAATAGTGATTTACAAATCACACTTATATGTCATTATTATTTTATTATTTTCCTATAATATTTAAAGGAGCTTTATGGAAAATCTATCTATATATTCTCCTCAAAGGGAGAATGTTTCAAAACATGGTATCCCTTCAAAGAGACATCCTTTAGTGATCTCACTTGGCAAGTAGTCATTAGACTTCTAAATGCACTAGGCAAATTATCAGTGCCACCGATGGGGACATGGGGTATTTCCAATGGCCAAGGGATTAGTGCAATTATCAGTGCCACCGATGGGCGGATGGGGTATTTCCATTGGCCAAGGGATTGCCAACAGTTATCTCCTGACCAAATTCCTTTAGTTATATGTATACTCAGGAGATCAATACAGAAAGACAGTTCTTATAATTCTTGTTCGTTTTACATTTCACTTCTCAACAAACACAGACAAAGCACCCACACGTTGCTATAGTTTGGTATGAAAGTAGGGTGGATATTTTCTGATATCTGACCATCCTGAAAGGATTAAAATATCAAATGGATAATCACAATCTGTATATGAATCCAAACATTTAATATCCATATTATACCCAAATATGAATACTTTAAATTTCTAATATGTGTATGGGTAGGTCAAGATTCGACACATCCAACACTATCCACATGCAACTCCGAACCCACAACTACCTATATTCACAACCACCCGTGTTCAGCATCCATAATATCCGTTAGTATCTAATCTGATTTCATCCCTAGCTGCAGGTGTGACAAAGGGTCACTTTGGTAGGGATTCAACCAGCTCCGACTCCTACACTATTCAGTCATTGTGCGTCAAAAGGGCCAGAGCTGGTGAAGAGAAAAAAAAAATGGCTCCACCAAGAGGAGAGGAGGAAAATGGATCTTGTGAACAGTAGCGTGTCAAATCTGTACCGAAAGGGGGCAAAGTATACGATGTCAATGCTACCATTAAAGCGTTCTTGACTCGTTGAACCTCCTGTTGATTGTGATTGGCATTTGGCAGACTGATTCCATCCATAATCACCTCGACATCCTCCAACGTTAGTTCCTTACTCTGCTCTTTCAGACTGACACACAAGGAACTCAACCAGATGCCTTTCCAGTTGGCACGGAGATCTTGTTTGAGTTGGTTCCTTACGCTGCTCTTTCAGACTGAAAACACATGGAACTCAAAACTCGGATGCCTTTCCAGTTGGCGCGGAGATTTTGTTTAAAGTCCGGAACATTCGGTCATGATGTCACCCAACATAACTGGGAAATGATCCTTGCAAGACAAAATCTTAGCACAGAGAAAACAAAATCAACACAAACCTATGTCCTCATGTCAATTGGTGATTGCTACAATAAGCGAAAAATAGAACAAAAGAGGTAACTGGCTATGCATGACTGCCGACAGTATCAGAGGCACTGCAAAACAAACTACCGAAGGGAAGATGTCTACTGTAAACTTCAACCAGTATGAGTTAGTGGCATGTCAAGAAAACGGAAACAATGCAATCGCACACCTCTATATGTACAAGTCTGTATCTCGGAATCCTGAGCTTCCTAATTCCAAAGACCAACCTGCAGCATGCATAAGGCTCTACATCTGTTTTGGTGCAGGGGAGGGTTCATCCAGCTTGGGCTTAACAAACGACTTCTGCCTCTCCACAGTTGGCATGTAAGCTGCAGTGCTCTTCTGGAGGGCATCAGAAGCAGGCTTGCCGGATTGGTCCCGTGGGCTCATGAGCTTCTTCTCAACGACCTCAAACTTTGCTGTTGCCAAAGGGGCGGTACCCACATTCCCAGCAGTGCTTGGGGCATCCTCTGTCAGTGTTGTAATGGCATCTCTGGACGAAAAACATGTGAAGCCACAGGAAGTACATTCCAACTGAAACAAAAAAAAATAATTCTGTGAGGCAACTGGTGCATGAACATCATAATTTGAAGGTTATAACAATTCCACATGTCAACGGATACTTTAGGACAGTTCACTACATAAAATCCATCATTCTAAATCAATTGTGCTATTTTCAAGCAGTATAAGTTCAACATCACATCAAGCAAACAGTACAACAATTAAGTTCAACAGCGCATCAGGCAAACATTTAAGCACTACCAAAGTATCAATGTTGAAATATCTTAACACACTGAACATCCACTCAAAAAGTTTGCAGACAACTTCTAGTACACCTAAGTTTTACACCCTCAGGATGGCGCCGTAGCGTGGATTCAGAGATAAAGAACCTGTTATTTCCTCACTAGTGTAGTCCCATAGACATAAAACACAGTTAGCTATAGAATGAATCTAAGGTCCATTTTGTTAAGACATCCACCAACATTCGCTATGCATCAAGGATCAAGCAGTACCATGCCATTCTAACCTAAGGTCCAAGTCGAAGGCATTTGAGTTTCTTATTTTTTACTAGGTCATTGCTCATTCTAACAAGTAATAACAGCTAATACTGAATGCAACAAGTCTTATTTAGGGGCCGTTTGGTGCGGCACCTCCGCACGTGCTCCGCGGCCGGAGCCAGAGCACTTCAAGCGGAGCCAGTTTTCCTGGCTCTGTGTCCGTACGTGAAAACAGCTCCAGCTCCGTGCTTTGTGGGCCAGAAGCGCTCCTCCGCGCGAGACCCTTTGCTGCGACTCCACCCGGCCTGCCCGTGGAGCCAGAGGAGAAGCCGGTGCAGGAGCCGCACCAAACGGGGCCTTAGTCTGACTCCGAGGACTACAGGGCAGTATAATTGATCCTGTGGTTAAGGGTCTGTTTGGATCCCCTCTAAACTTTAGAGCTGTAAAAATTTTAGAGCACTTTAGCTCAGTTTTGAGATCTAAAGCTCTAATATGAGGTGGGCTAAAGTTTAGAGCTAACTTTAGACCACCTGTTTGGAGACATTAGCTCTAAAGTTAGAGGTCTAAAGTTTAGAGGAGCGGATCCAAATATGCCCTAAGTGACTTAATTTTTTGCAGTACATGGTAAAGAAAAAACTGACAATTTTATTCCCTCAACTGCAACATAAACACTACCATTTGTTATTTTTCCTCCAAACTCAATCCATCTTTTATCAGAAAAATAATATAAAAAATGACCACAAAACATCAAGCATTTACGAACCTGATAGCGGTCTCCATGACCTGCATGGATAATATTAGATATGACAACTTTCTTCTCACTGCATCTTTCACATCTTTTATCAGTCATCTAATTAAAACAGAACACAAAATTAGAGAATCATAGCATAAATAACTCCATGAGAAAATTCAGCTATTATAATGAATATTTATCTTTGTTCTTTTCGCTCGTTATTGATCTTAAAGCATATATGTACCATACCTGCAATTTCCTTGATTCTTCGGGTTCAGATGTTTTCTCTGCTGAAGTCAAGCCAGCCTGAAATGTTGTAAATAATATATATAAACACATAGTGGCAGTGGTTTTCATGATATAGTGTAACATACAGTAAATTTAAGAAAATATAAAACCATTTTCTCATAATAGAAGTGGCCCCATAGTAAACCTACACTACCAACACTTTAGTAAACTCAATGCATTACTGTCAAATACCATGTACTTGCAAGTTCAACATGACTAGATAGAAATAGTACAACAGTGCTAATAGTCATAATTTTATTTTCCCCTCGAATACACAGGAGAACTGTGTATAATTGCATTAAGAAGAAGAGTTTAAATATTTACCAGAACCCCACACACCCCACACCAAACAAGTAACCACAGGTGAGCCACCAAGTAATTTAGACAACTGACAGTCAGTATGCTCAACCACATATCATCAATCTCTTTGAAAAAGGAACTATGCACCTTATACTCAAATAAAAACCGAAGGACTATTCATATCCAGCCTTTGAAGGCCAAACACTCCCTACTCAAATGAGAACCGAAGGAATAAGGGAAATATATCGTGTATGGCACTTCACCGATAAAAACCAAATTTCCAAAAATATACAGTAAAAAGAAAAACTTAGCCTGTTATACACAGTAATATTTTATAGCGCTGCCATATGATGCAGTTTCATGCTGCAATAGCAGCTGCCCAAGTTGCCATAGTATGCTAAATTGTCATATCAACTTTAGCATTACAAACAATGTTGCCATATCAATATAAATAACTAGAGTACAAGGCAATTACCACAAGAATGAAATCAATTTTTGTCAACAAGATAAAGAGGAATATCTGGATCTTGTAACCAAAATGCAAAATATTTGAAATGAGAATTAGACCTTTAATTCATCTGGGGACATGGTTAAAAGAGCAGGAGGATCAAGCTCCTTGTCCATCAGCCTCCTGCGAAGTTTAGAGATATTCTGTATATCCGAAATAACCATGGTAAGTCAAATATTCACATAATAATATAAACATACAGAAGCATAATGAAAGACTATCTGGATTCATTCCATTCCATGCAGAGTTGACTATGGAAAAAGTACTATTAACATAATTATATCTAGGAAGATAAACTTACAGTTCAAACAATTATTTTTCTACAGTACTTTGGTGAACATGTGGAGCTGATACATCTTACAGGAGATGGTAGACATACAAAGTGTTCTCATTTTATCAAGTGGCAGTACAGCAATAATGCAGAAGCATCATCAGGCCATTGTATTTGTACCTTACGTCCTTACCTACGAGTTACTGTACTTTACCTAGGGGTATGTAAAGATGACAATGCTTTACAAATTCCAACTATATTCAAGTGGAACACAACTTAGATGTGCAAATTCTAACTTTATCCCACTGTTCCAAAATGTTAGGTGTTTTAGTTTTTTCCTAAGTAAAAAAAAAAACCTCGACCAACCTAGGAGGAACTATGTGGCATTTTATTTAGAAAATAGGCACAGACATTCGCCTCGATGAGGACTTGAACCTGGATGGTCCGGGCATTAATCCACACCCCCGACCAACTGAGCTCACCATAATCAAATTAGTCTTAATTAAATCCACCATAAAATATGTTTCGATAGTGCATTTATTTGGTATTGTAGATCTTAATATACCTTCATATAAATTTGGCTGCCGAATTTAGAGAAATATCACTTAGGAAAAAACAAAAACACCTCACATTTTCGACCAGAGGGAGTAGTTTTACAGGATACACAAGGTATTCCTGTGGAGAGAGTAAACAGTGATTGGATCATTGTAACGAGTTAACAACCAAGGTTGGGTAACTACAGGATCAAAGTAAAAGCTATTTATGGTAGTACAGATTTTGGAAACAAATTATTGTAGAACTACAAGTTATGGACCATTAGAAAAAAAAACAGAATCGACTTGAAGGAAGCCAACATAACTATACAGATGAGGTTGCTTGTTGATAACTTGCAGTATACACAAGCTCTGCATGCAGAAAAGTAAAACCTCTAGCGTTTTAGGTTGGCCAGACATAATGAACAATCTGAATGCAATATTGTGTTTTCATGACACAAAACCAAGTCAGAAAATAAGAACATATTTTGACACATGTTGAATGCATGCTTGAGTAGCTACATGGTTCTTCTCAGACAGACATGCTCTTGAAGCAATTAACTATCAACTATAAAGGTTTATATGGTCATAACAGCTAAGTATCTTAAGTTATGAAGCGGCACATGATCCAAATGTTCAAGTAGTAAACCCCAAAACTTGTAATGCCCAAACAAGTAATTGATAAAAACATTTATACCTTGATGTTGAACAGTAGTTGTCGCAGTTTCTGGTTATATTTCCCAAAATCTGTTCCAAGAGCTTCAAATGCAGATCTTTCTAATGCAACCATTATCTCAACAACAACATCAAGTCCATATGATTTTTCATTTTCCTGATTGAAAAGATAGAAACCATTATAATAAACCAAGGGAAATAAAGGATCAATAGAACACATGGAATGAGGGAAGCAAATTGTCCAATAGTAAAACAAGAGAAACAGCCAGTAGAAAAAGAACAATTAAACATGAGACTCATTCATTATTTAAAGGAACTGAAGGATGTTTAACAATGGATTATAAATGAATGATGTATTCACTTATATGTAAAAAAGATGGAGATGGAAGCAACCCAAGCAAGAGACATGACATGGCAAATGCACACTGCAGAAATTTATCCGAGATCTACTCAAAACATGAGATCTCTCTCATTTCATTGAATGAAAATTCATTAATCTGTGCTCTTAATCCAGGTGCATTTGAGAGAATAATACAAGTTGTGAACACAAAGCTCTAAGGGACCATAATCAAATAATTTCTATATTTTGTCACATCGTCCTTCCAGTATTCCAGAATTAACCCAACTGAAGCAGAGCTTATATAAAAAGCACTGACAACATGGCTAGATACGATATGTAGGAGTTTAAAGTTAACACAATCAAATTATAATGAACAAGCAACTTACAGCAGAACCAACATCCTTTGCAGGTGAACCATTGATTGAACTTTTGGCTGTAGAATCAGCGTCAGCAGAGGTTCCAGCATTCTCCTTTGATGCAAGCGGAATACTTTCTACCAATTTATCAAGCCACCTATCACGATAAGTACAACCTGTAAGTACTTTATACCTAACAAGGATATCATAATTCCTTAGCTTATCACTTCCAGGTGTCTCTGCTTTTGCAAACTGCTCGGATTTGCCAACTGGAGGTTCTCTTGTTACATCTATAGGGTTAACAGGTTTCTTACGCAGGCCTCGTTTATTTGACAAATGATTGTTCTCAAGAGGTGTCTCTTCAGGTTCGAGATCGGGAAGCTGCCCAATACGGTCTATTGTTTTCTTAACAAGAAGATCAATCTCTTGTTGCTTGTTATCCTCATAGTCCTTGTCTGTTAGGTTCCACAGTTTCTTCTCAACTGCATCATAGACCTTCTGGACAATAAATCCAGGGTGCTGCTTTCGACTGGGAATCTGCTTGTGCTGAGGAATGAAATGGACCACACATTTGTGCATAACTGATTCTGCAGGCACATCATCAATATGAAAACTGTAAAATAGCTCTCGTGTATCTCGTGCTACCCAGCATCCACCCTCCTTTTTGTCAGCCTCTTCTGGTCTATAAAACCATTGGCCAGTTACATATAGGCTCCCCTCAGTTTCTGTTATATCCTGTTCGAAGATAATTAAAAAGATATTAAGATACAGAAAATGAAAGTTGGAAATATCAAATATCACAAGGAACTGTAGCACATAGGTGACTGTATTGTAAAATAAGGACCACTATATTTGAAGATATGTTCCAGCTGTACAATGATAAGAGACTTTGTCCTCAGAACTAGCAAGAACAGGTAACCATTCCAGTCATCCAGTCACAAAAGATAAGGTAAGGCTGACATTAAACTGCTTGACATAAGGGTTGTCCATTTGCAGTTGCACCCATGGCAATAAAAACCCAAAATCCACAATGATGCCTAGCAGCAAGCACTTAATCAATGTTCATGAAATGAGTTAACTATGATGTCCAGTTTTCAACAATTCAAGAGTAACACTTCTAATTTAGTAGTAGCAACCAAATGCAGGGAACAATATAAGTTAAAAAAAGGGATGAATACATTTAAGAAAGAATTTATGCAAAAAAGAGTGAGGTCACAGAACAAAACAGCTGGATGCAAATATAGGTCAATTACAGTCTAAGCACAATGAAGGGCGGGCCTGGTGCAAGCGGTAGAGTCTTACCGCTTGTGACCGGAAGGTCCCGGGTTCGAGTCGCGGTCTCCTCGCATTGCACAGGCGAGGGTAAGGCTTGCCACTAACACCCTTCCCCAGACCCCGCACACGCACAGAGCGAGAGCTCTCTGCACTGGGTACGCCCTTTACAGTCTAAGCACAATGGCAGTATGAAAATACCGCAGCCAAAACCTAGCATGATCTCATATTGCATAGTAAAAGAACATGTCTATCTTATACTGGTATAAAGACTCTGGTCACTCAAACTATCACACAACAGAAGCATCAATAGCTACCAACCCATCAAGTTTAGCGAAACCTATGAGACTCTACAAATGAATCGAGTAAAATTTCATGAAACTAAACAGAAAAACAGTTTATTCGGCAACGTTTGGTCCCTGATACGATCACAGACCTTGAGGATGGCGACATAGGGCTTCTCAGTACTGTCCTCAGGCGTGAGCAGCACGGGGTCCTCCTGCACAATTGAGCCCACAGCAATCACCCAACGGAAAGAAAACAATATGCGCCTCCCGAACCCCCAAAAATCCAAATAGAGCAGAAATCGGGAAGCGAGAAACGGAGGAGGCGGCTTACCAGCTCGAAGGTGTTGCCCTCGTACTCGAAGGAAGAGTAGTGCTTCTTCTGCTTCCTCCCCTTACCGGTGATCTTGACCGGGTCCCCAACAGCTACGGGCACCGCCTCCGTGTTCTCCTCCTCACGGGGCTCCTCCTCTTGCGGCTCCACCTCCTCGGGTTCCTCCTCCTCGCTCTCCGGGTCGCGGCGGCGCTTGGGCCGTCCCCGGCGGCGGCGGGTCTTCGTCTCGGCCTCCTGCTCGCGGCGCTCCTCCTCCTCGGCCCGTCGCATCGCCTCGAGATCCTTCTCGTCGTCTTCCTCCTCCTCGAGTTCCACCTCCTCCTCCTCCTCGTCGTCGTCAGCGGCGAGTCGGCGGCGCTGCTGCGGCTGCGGCTGGGGCTTCCTGGGGTTGGCGCCCGAGGAGGAGGCGCCACCCGAGGGCTTGAACTTGATGGGCACGTCTTCTTCTTCGTCGTCGTCGTCCAGCTGCGCGAACCGGCGGCGCCGCCCCATTTCTCCGCGGTAGCCGGTTCGGAGGAAAGGGGGAGAAATGGGGATCGGAGGTCTGGGATTTTGAGATTTGGGTTGGGACTTCGGGTTTGGGTTTAGGAAGCAATTGTGTCGGAGTGAGACGTGGGGGAGGGTCCAGGGGCCACCTGTCATGCATAATCTTAGTCATGTAGTGTATATATGTATAATTAATAAAATAAAATAAAAACTCTAATCCTTGCGAGGAATCCTAATCCTAGGGCTAATTTGGAAGATGGGGATAAAAAACCCTCCATAAAGTATTTCTCCTGGATTTCCCGCCCTAGAAAAAGACAGGGATCTCAAGGGAATTTGAGTTTCAAAAAGAGCCTTAAGGACAAGAGCGTATCATAACATGTTTGAAGAAGCAGTGAAGCTGCCTTACCACCGTGGATCTCGGAACAAAAAATTTTGATGCTATTTTGCATAAGATATTAGCACAGTGCTCAACATCACCAACCAAACATTCATTGACCTCATCTTGTGCTAACATTTTGTATTATTCAGATCAAAATATCTTGGGTTGATTACTTGAGCAAGCTTCTTTTTTTCTTTTTCACTACATATTCATGTGTTTCCGGCTGAGATGCCGGGAGCTTTTATCGAGCCCCCCCACCAAAGGCATATTACTATGCTTATTTGAGATGATATTACTCCCTACACTCGAACATTCCGTCTTTTACGCAAGTTATATTATTTTACCGGATAAGCTTTTGTCCATGATTTGGATAACATGCGCCTGGGATGGGTGGAATATAGCTACAAGATCAAATTTCTTCATATATTGAGGCCATGTTTGGATCCCCTAGTATAAAATTTAGCCATCAAAGTTTAGATTTAAAGTCTCCAAATAGATGGTTAAAAGCTAAATATAAACTTTAACTCTCTAAAAAACACTTTAGACCATTAGACCATAAAATGAAGCCAGAGTGGTATAAAGTTTTGATTCCTCTAGTCAAAAGATAATTTTGCCTATGCACCTTATCTTTTCCCTAACGCACACATGCTCCGAAATTAGAACCGCTCACCCGCATGGTCGCCACTCACCAAACTCCCACCACTCCCATCAAACAAACGTACCAAACTATAGCAAATGGGGAATGACACCCACTCCCGCGTTTAGTTACCGTTGTTCGGTTGGAGGACGAGGTGGGATGGGATGACCTCGGGACCACTGTTGTTTGGTTGGGAGGCTGTTGACGGTAGTTAACAACCATTATAAACTATCAACATAACATGTATAAGGGCATAAATATTATCACCAACGAAGGTATAGGGGTTTAAACTAACAAATTCCACGAGTTTTGGTGAATCTGTATTTTTTGCAAGGTTTATCCAGAAAACCATTAAGGTGGACCTAAATGTCAGATTTAATCGCGATATTCCGCAGCGAAACGGACACTAGAAGGTTTCAGAAAACTCGAGAGGACTCCACATCGAAGCGGAGGGCGAGGCGCCGCTAGGTGGGGCCGACCTATAGGCCGGCCGGCCCCTAGGGCCCACGTGTCAGCCCCCGTTGCTATGTCGGTTCTCCACCGCGTCCTAGATTGCATCTACACCGTTTATTCAAGTCGGTTTGATCCGAGGGCTCAGGATTGACGCTCCGGCCTATATATACCAGCCCCTGGCACCCCCCGTGAGGCATAAGTCATTTGAGAAGACAGAAATCCTAGTCATCCTCAAAGCTCCACCATATTCTAGGGCATAGCTAGTTAGGCTAGGTCGACCACTCACCATATTCGTTTGGATTTCTAATCTTGTCAAGAGCGTGGTTTGGTATAATCTTTGTATCCCTCTCTTTTGTATTTCTCATTACTTTTATATGTTCGTTACAATTGTTTTGACATTATTAATCATATTATTTATGTTCTTAGTTATTATGTTCATCGTCTACTTTGATTGTATGCTTAGTATAGTTGGATTATTAACATATTCATGCATAAGTTCGTATAGCGCTCGCTCTAGTATACACGGGGTGAGTGGTCGACATTGTGTAAGCGTGGTGCTTATACGTTGTTTACCTGCGGATACACCCTATATTTTGGGTCATGTGGTAGATCGCGGATGTGACACTCCCGTTGAGTCCTTTGTAGTCCACTCCCCGAATGTAGGTATACAAGTAAGATATAGTTACGAAGAAAGACAAGCTCTGTTCTTAATCTTCCTTAGTAATATCCCTTATGTGTAGATATAAAGATGATTTTAGCCATGATTACTAAGTGTAATTGCACTAATCAATGTATGTTTTGACTTGTAATTAAGAATGACTTATGAATGATTCATCTAATATTCTACTTAACCATGCTAATACCATAGAAAGGAGTACTTTGAGTAATCAATAATTAGTTTTTATGCACCATTCATATACACATTTACCTCTTGACTTACCCCTGTTGTGAGTGGAATATTAGTTATGGTTTACTTCTCCATCAATAGTATAAGTTATCAATACATGTCTGAAAGGATCAAGATGCCCAAGAGGGTGGGTGAATTGGGTTAATTCTAAATTTTAGCAATAATTAAAAATTAAACCCTACACTTAGCCCACTTCACCCCTTGTGTCTAGAATGTGATTCTATTGTTCTACCACACAAAAGTTTTGCACCCTAGGTTCCAATCCTACTCTAGAATGGAAATTCTAGGAATGTAAAGACAAGAAATGAATTGCTCAAATGTAAATGCTCAAAGTAAAGAGAGGGAAAGGAACGCGGTGATGTTTTCCTGAGGTATCAGAGAGTCGCTACTCCCCACTAGTCCTCGTTGGAGCACCCGCGCAAGGGTGTAGCTCCCCCTTGATCCACGCAAGGATCAAGTGCTCTCTACAGGTGGATTTTCGACACTCCGTCATGGTGAATCATCCACAACTGCTCACAACTTGAGTTGGGTCATCCACAAGCCCCGCTGGATGATCACCAAGCTCCCAATCACCACCGAGCCATCTAGGTGATGGCGATCACCAAGAGTAACAAGCACAAACTCTCACTTGACCACGACAAGCCTAATGAGAAGGGTGGATGCACACTTGCTACTCTCCTTACACTAATGAGGACCTTAATCTTGGATTCTCAAATCTCAATCACCTCACTAGGCTCTTGCTCTCCCTTGCACTCTCAAGGTGTTTCTCAGCTGAACAAATAGGCAAGAGACCTCCCTTGGACGAGTGGAATAAGTATTTATACCCCCTCATTCAAAACATAACGTTTGAAGGCTGAGTCAGCATTCTATGGGGTGAACGGACGCTCCGGTCATGGTGACTGGACGCTCCGGTCAGTTATACCTGCCATTGTGTCAGAAAGAGCCATTAAGTTTTGATCGGACGCTGGCACCCAGAGTCCGGTCAAGAAAAACGCTCTCTGAAACCTTACTAATGTTGACCGGACGCTGGCACCCAGAGTCCGGTCACTTCACTGTTCAATGTTCGGTCAGTTATCGGATCCTGACCAGCGTCCGGTCAGCACTAACCGGATGTGTCCGGTCAAGAAAATCCTTCTCTAGAGTTGACCGGACGCTAGCACCCAGCGTCCGGTCCACTTTCACTTAGCGTCCGGTCAGTACCAGACGACTTCAGTTGATCAAATGAACTGACCGGACTCACCCTCCAGCGTCCGGTCACAACCAGACCATCGTCCGGTCAATCATTTGACCCTCCATCCACTTCCAATTCGAAATTTTATGTGAATGAAGTTTGCTTCAATTGATCTTAGGGCTACTCCTAAGCTACCTAGTGCTAGGTTTGATAAGTGTGCACCACACCTAACCCACTAGACTCACCTAGGTCAAGCTACTAGTTCATACCTCCCTTAATAGTATGACCAAAAGAAAAATAAAGTCCTAAACTACTCTAAGTGTCTCTTCAACACCAAACGACACTTAGAACTAGTCCGTCCTTAACCTTATTGTCTATCCTTTGAAAACCAAAACGATTTCCATCGACAGGGGCATGACAACCATGATTGCCCAATCAATTGTCATTACCATGACCTAACTCAAATTGCCTCTACAAAACACACGTTAGTCATAGTAATATCGTGTCGTCATTAATCACCGAAACCCAACTTGAGGCCTAGATGCTTTCAATCTCTCCCTTTTTGGTGACTGATGATAACACAACCTCGAGTATATAGAAGAGATTATTGAGGTTTTCAACATGCTTGGTTCATATAAGCTTTTGACAATAAGAGCAAAGGGGTTAGACATGCTTATATGACCCATGCCAACATGGTATACTCAATAGATATGAATTAAGCATGAGTACATAAAGTAAAAGCTCATTTGAATCAGAGTAAAACGTGGAAGCAAAGCAAATGAGCATAACCAAGTGACATGACATATATAAAGATATCAATGTAGAGAGCACACATGTCACATAAGTCTCACCATCACAAGTATGTAATGCAAAGCATGAAAGAAAACGTGAATGCACAAAGTATCACACATAAAGAAACGAATCACATGCTCCCCCTAGATCACATGCTCCCCTTAGATCTAACATACTCACTCCCTCTCCCCCTTTGGCGTCAAGCACCAAAACCTAAGGGTCGGACAGCGGGACAGGAGCAGTCGAGTCGAGAGCTGAGGTGCGGTGAGATATCTGGAACTAAGCAGCATCATCCTCTAACCCTAAGCTCTGAGCAGTCTGACCCTCTGTAGCTAGAAGGGAAGGTGAAGTGGTCTGGGTCTGCTCAGTAACTAGCACGGCTTATGACTCTAGAAGTATCACTGTAGGAAGTGGAGCCACATCTGCCGTTGTCGCTGTCGCTGAAGCCTCAAGTATAGGAGTGACTGTATGAGGTGGCTCGGACGATGCAACAGATGACGGGATCATCTCGATAGTCCCGGTAACTAGAGCAACTGTGGTAGGAACAGGGACTCGTAACTCTGAAGGTGTAGGATGCCCTGTGAGCTCACTGAAAGTAGCACTGAGACTCCTGGAGACTAAGGTGTCCGTCACTAACCCTGAAGAACTCTGAGTCAGAGTGAACCCC